CTTGTCTTTACATATTTAAATTACTTTAAGAGAGCAAGTAGAATTCATCAACATTAGAACATAAGGACCTTCTCAAGGAAGCAAAAAATACAAGTGAAAAAGTAAACCTACATTCTAATGTCCTAGCACAGGGCTAAAACCAGTAACAGCAACAAATTCTAAACATTCTAAATATGTCTAAGGTAATACTCACTGAAAGCAGATAGTTTGTATTGCCAGGGGCACAGCTATAACAGAGGAGGAGAGTTATTTTGTCTCTGAAATGAACTTTCTTCCTTCTGATTCCATTCCTTCTTCCTGTACCTAAGACAGAAATGCAGGTGCAGTGAATGAACAAAATCAAGGCAGTCCAGAGGTGAGATATGGTTTCTGAAAAATTACAACTTCATCAAGCAATTTCTAGAAAAAAAAAAAAGAAAGAAAACAACAGCTAGGAACAGGCTCTCCCTACTACAAAACATTTCAAAATCTAAATATAAGGTAGCAATGGCAGTCCCATGCACTGAATCACCTCATCCTTGGTGTCATCACCAAGAAGGGAGAACACTGAGGATCAAAGGTTTTATTGAACCTGAACATGAGACACACATTAAAACTTCCTCCACCACTAATTTAGATCAAAACTTGCTCTCAGGCCAAGATATACCATTTAAGGCTCTCCACTCTCCAGAATACAAGCGTATTCCCAAATCCTCTGCAAAGATGGTGTTGAAGAATTACTGGACAGCATGCCAGTGTCCTGAGGACAGGCCATCTTGTCACCCCATGTGGACATGACAATTGTTGGTAAGAGTCGTCCATCCTTACTATTAATTTTGCATAAATCTCTTCATAATCTCTTCAACAACTTCCCCCACCCCCCAGTAGTAGAGAATTAAGCTATTCCCAAAGATGTAAACAGGAGACTCCAAGCCCCACCCACACTATCCAAGCAGAGGACAGTGAAAGAGGATAGGCCCAGAGGGATAAGGGTAAGGGAGTGTGGCAAAGTGAGGAGTTCAGATCAGGACAGGGAAGGGAGGAGGGCAAGGAATGAAGGGCAAAACCCACAGCCTGGGAGGAAGAGAAAGGCATAAAACTCAAAGAGTTTAAGGTGGAGAGGTAATGGAAATGGGGCTATGGGTGGATAAGGAAGCAGAGAGTGAGGGTGGGGCTGGGAAAAAAGAGAAGAGGAAGAAGAGAAAAAGCGTGCGCGTAAAGAGAGAGTTAGGCAAGAAAAGGACGAGACAGAGTGGGGAAGGAGAGGCCGGAGCAGGGGGAGCAAAGCAGGCAGAAAGGTGAAAGGTAAGAAAAAAGGGGGTAGGGAAGGAGAGTACGGGACCATGTGTGGGGAGGGGGAGTTGGGGAGACGCCAGAGCGACGGGTAGGGCAGCGAGGGCCGAGCCGCGGGGGTGGAATCCAGACGCCGGGCGGGGGAGGGGGCGGCGGGACAGTGGGTGGGGGCCGCCAGGCGGCGCCGGAGACCACCAAACTTTACATAGACCCGAGACCGTTTCCTGGAGGGCGTGCAGAAAGGAGCTGGAGCCTCGCCTGGCCTTGCCTCACCTCACCTCGCGGCCCAGGGCAGGGGCGTCCGCCTACCCCTCCCCAGCAATGCCTCCCGACCCCCCTGCCCTCGGTGGGGACACGCGGCCCGCAGGCCCCGCCCGCTTCTTCCCCCGCCACCCGGCAGCCCCTCCCCCACGCTGCCCCGGGACCCTCGCCGCTGACCCCAGAGACCCCGTCCCGGGCCCCTCCGCTCGCCCTGGGGTGAGGAGGCCCGACACCGCCCGAGGGAGGCCGGGCCCGGCGGGGAAGGAGGAGGAGGAGGGCGCGGCGCAGCCCGAGTTTCCCACCTTTTCTCCTGGCCCAGACGCAGCTGGGGTGGACGGGACCTCTCGCGCTCTGCCTTCTCCTCCAGCTTCATGGAGCCATGCGCCTGGGTGGGGGCTCCCGAGAGAAGCGGGCCCGCAGACGGGCCGGACGCGCGGCGCGGACGGGGCGGGGCGAAGAAGGCCGGCGGGCGGGCGGAGGAGGAAGCGACGGGGCGGCGGTGGCGGCAGGGAAGAACTGCTAGAGGTATTCCCCGGGCAGCTGGAGGACTGAGTCGAGCCGGGACCCGAGTCCTCCAGTATCCCAGCAGCCACCGGAGGCAGTGAGGTAATGGAGGAAGAATGTAGGGAGTCCTCCAGTGGACCACACGCCCTCTAGCGAGCCGCGAAAACCATAGAGATCCCGGAGCCGCCAGAGCACCGCCCCGCCACTGTCACGTGGTCTGACCCCGCACAATTTATTGGCTGGCGCCGACTCTACGGGGTTGAATTTAGAGGGCTGATTTCCATTCGTGGGGCTGAATCCCAGGCAGTTGGAATAAAAGGGGAGACGCGGAGCGGATCTGGAGGTGCCGGCTGGCCCGGCTCATGTCCGAGCGCTACGTTCCATCCGCTCAGCCACCAGCACTGTCGGCCGGCGCAGTGCACGCCGGGCCGCTCGGCCTCTGCGAACGAACGCGGAGCGCGCTGGGAGATTTCGTGCGGGCCCGGGCGGGCAGCCTTGTCGGCGCCGGGGCCCTGCTGGGGTGCCGGCAGTGTCGCCCGGCCCTCGCCCGCCTTAGCACCCGACACCCAGCTGCCCACGGCCCTTCTCATCCAAGCCTCATGTTGCCTCACGCGACCCGGCCGTAGTCTTCGAAAGCAGCCAGGAAGGGGCGTTTCAGAGCCGCGTACATCAAACCGACCCACTGGCCAAAGGCCATGCCCGCAGGAGTGTACCAGGCTCGGTGCCAGCCTCCTCATGGACCGAGAAGGGCAAACAGTATCCAGCCTTTGGTATCAGGAGTCCGTCTCTCTGTCTTGAACCCCTGAATTCCCAAGCTGGAGATGACTTAAGTGCAGTTACCCACAGGACAGGATTATTCAGTAGGCCCACTAAGCACATTCCTCAACACTAGCAGGGCAAAGGTCTCAAAAAGACCAATATAAAGCATTTTTCAAAAATATTAGGAGTAAATAACTTAATTTCCAATACTTGCTATTTAATTTGCTTTGATTTGACGACTTGGCATTTTGTTTTTAATTACAGATGGAGTTGCACTTTTTTTTTTTTTTTAAGATTTTTATTTCTTTGACAGAGCACAGGCAGAGGGAGAAAGAGGGAGAAGCAGGTTCCCTGCTGAGCAAGGAGCCCGATGTGGGACTCGATCCCAGGACTCTGGGATCATGACCTGGGCCGAAAGCAGCCGCTTAACCGACTGAGCCACCCAGGCGTCCCTGGGTTGCGCTTGTTTCTGCCCTGCTCCCACACCCTCACCATTCCAAACACAAACTGTATAGGCCCTACAGCAAAGGCATGCCCTCTTTTAAAGCAATGCCAGTCTTGTTAAGAACACAGACTCAAGCCCACAGATAGACTGTTTTTGTGTTTTGCTATTCTGTTTATGCACAAAGGAATCCTTAACATGTTTGTCCTCAAGGAGCAAAGAAAAGTAGTAAAAAATGCAAATCATATCTGACAGTGAAGCTTTCCAGCAAAAACCTTCTGCTCTAGAATGCATAATGTACTCAAGCATAATAAGATCCACTACTACAGACTTTTAGCATAATTACCTGTAGGCAACAAAAACTGAGGAAACTGAGTATCTTTGACTGGTGTCTCTTGGACCTAAGCTCCCAAAGAGAACCTGATGAAGGACAACAGAGAAAGGAACAGACAGTGATGCTTTGTAGAACAGGAGGTGACTTTTTTAAAAAAGCAATTTCTGTAGCAGTCTTCACAATTTCTGTCACAGTCTTGACACACTTACCTGCTGTTGAGGCCACATTTGCCTGTTTCTAACCTCTGTCTGCCTGAAAAACTACAAATTAGATGATCATATGGCCCACAGCCAGAAATACAGGAGGCAGCAAGCCAGAGGTCAATTTTTTTTTGTTTCTAAATAAGAAGACAAAATCCTGACTTAAAGTAATCAGAATAAATTTCACATCGTGAAGTTTTTTCCAGCTGCAAGTCTTAAAATATGGCATCTGGAAAGGACCTTAGTCTATTGCTCCCAGGGCGGTACTATAGCATCATTAAACAGCCCACAGATAAGGGAGTTATTGCTCCCTCGTTATCAAGCTGTCAGGGAGTAAATGATGGAACTAAGTTAGACTTGAAACACTCCCAAATTAAAAACAAAAACAAACCTTGCATTGAGCTGTCAAAAAATGCATTTTACTGAGAAGTAGGATCCAGATGCTGTGGCCATTGTTAATTGATGCCAAAAGGCAAAGAGGACTTTTTAAAAAAGTCACTTTGAGGTCACCTCTCATCAGTAAGCAACAGTTTGAACTGATGCAAATATATACAGAATGGGGATGCCTGGGTGGCTCAGTTGGTTAAGCATCTGCCTTTGGCTTGGGGCACGGTCAGTCCTGCATCGGGCTCCCTGCTCAGCAGGAAGCTTGCTTCTCCCTCTGCCTGCCGCTCCCCCTGCTTGCGCTCTCTCTCTCTCTCTCTGGCAAATAAATAAATAAAAATCTTAAAAAAAAAAGATATGCAGAATGAAATTATGAACAGGAGGAAGAAACGGAGGGCAATATATGCCAGAAATACGGAAGAGGCTGTGTCTTACTTATTTTCTCGTTTCCTACACACAATAGAGAAACCTGGTACATAGGAGGGAGACACTCATTATTTGTTACTCGAATAAGCGAAGAAGAAAGCCAGCAAACAGCGGAATGTAATATAGTTGGGAAAGGGAACTGTAGCTCAAGCCCTCTGCATGATCCTGAAATGTCATCCCAATCTGCTGTGCTTTAACTGCACTACTCTATCAAAATAGCTCAAATCATCTGCTTCCAGATGCACAGCTTCCCATCATTTCTTGCTTTGAATGGTTAAGAATATATGGTAATGTAAGAGACTAGATCTTAATTGTTCCCACCACAAAAAAGAAATGATAATTATGTAACATGTAGAGGTGTTAGCTAACTCTATAGTGGTAATCATATTGCAGTATATAAGTGTATCAAGTCAACAGATTGTACACCTTAAACTTACACAGTGTTATATGTCAATTATATCTCAATTTAAAAAATTATATATGGTAATGATTAAGAGAGTGCACTCTGGAATCAGCTGTGTTCAAATTCCAGCCCTGACACTGAATACCTGTGAACCTAGAGTGAGTTAAAGCATAATAACTCAGGGTTATGAAATTTAAATGTTTACACATATGAAGCTATTATAGGATAAGCATGTCAAAGATGCTCAATAACTGTGAACCTTATTAGTATTAGGATGTTGTGATAAACATGAAATTGACCTGTACAACAGACAGACCCATTCTTTTGGATGAGCAATGCACTGATGCACTAAAGGCATTTGTCAACCTGTAGTAATGAAATAAGTTTTCACAAGAGATATTGATAGATGACACAGATTTTATCTGTCCCACTTTCCAGACTGACATGAGTCCGGTCTTAATAGGAAATACAGAGTCTAAATCTGAGTTCTCGTCTCCACAAAAAGCAGGCACAGAGAGACTGTAATCTCCTTCAGAGATGGTGCCTGTCTCCTGTGTATCCTCCACAGGGTAAGTCCAGTTGAGTACTTAAAAGGGATGATAAATACTAATCTGCTTAAAATAAATGTTTACCGGGTCACAGGGGTGACTCATTCAATTGAGCATCCAACTCTTGATTTCAGCTCAGGTCTTGATATCATGGGTCATGGGATTGAGCCCTGTGTCTGTTTTGGGCTCCATGCTCAGTGAAGATTCTGCTTAAAGATTCTTTCCCTCTGCCCCTTCCCCTGCTCAAGTGCACACATGCTCTCTCTCTCAAATAAATAAATAAAATCTTAAAATCAATCAATCTTTACCTGTATATACCAATGTCTACATGGGTTGAGTGTTTCAGAAATATGAATGTTTCTGACAATATGAAATATTTCTGACAATATTTCTTTTTTTAAAATATTTTATTTATTTATTTGTCAGAGAGAGAGAGAGTACAAGCAGGGGGAGCAACAGAGGGAGAAGCAGACTCCCCAGTGAGCAGGGAGCCTGATGCGGGACTTGATCCCAGGCCCCTGGGATCATGACCTAAGCTGAAGGCAGATGCTTAACCGACTGAGCCACCCAGGCATCCCTCTGACACTATTTCTTGACAAACTGCCAAGACCCACAGTATTTTGTTTGTGGTAGAGTTAAACCACATTACTCTGAGAAGATGTATTTTAAAACTTTGTATGTCACTTAGGTACACAATTTAACATGAAGAAGTTTCTAAACTTCTAGTTATTATTGGTGAAATAAATGAAACCAAGTTGGGAAGCTCAAGTCACACATCTGTTTATTCTATAAATACTCTTAATATCTAGTCTGTACTGAGAATTTTATATTATTGTTTTACTGAGATATAACATACACATATAGAATGCACAAATCTTTTTTTTAAAGATTTTATTTATTTATTTATTTATTTGGGAGAGAGAGACAGAAATAGTGAGAGAGAGCATGAGTGGGGAGGAGAGAGAGAAGCAGGCCCCCCGCTGAGCAGGGATTCCCAACACAGGCTGGAGCCCAGGACCCTGGGATCATGACCTGAGCTGAAGGCAGAAGCTTTAAAAAAAAAAAAAAAAAAAGATTTATTTATTCATTTGAGAGAGAGCACAAGCAGGGGGAGAGGCAGGCAGAGGGAGAGGGAGAAGCAGACTCCCCGCCAAGCTGGGAGCCCAACGTGGGGCTAGATCCCAGGACCTGGAGATCATGACCCTAGCCAAAGGCAGACGCCCAGCCATCTGAGCCACCCAGGTGTCCCTTGAATGCACAAATCTTAAGTACACAGTTTGGCTGACTCTTACATTAGTATATACCCATGTAACCACCATCCAAATTAAGATGTAGAAATTTCAAGCAGCGCAGAAGTCTCCCTTGTGCCTTCACCCAGGTACTAAGCCCCCTTCAGAAGATAACCATTATTTTGGCTTATATCACCAGAAATAGTTTTGTTTGTTCTTGGATATCATAGAAACAGACTCATACAGTATGTATTCTTTTCGTCTGAGTTCTTTTGCTCAACATTATGTCACAGAAATGCATCTCTCTGGTTGGGTGCAGGCATAGTTCATTCCTTTTCTTTGCTGCATAGGCTACTGTGTCATTCAGTACATATTGAATGAATATGCCACAATTTGTTTATCCAGCATTATTGAAAAAAATCTTGTTTCCTTCTCTGAATCTAGAGATTTAAGACTTTCTACAAGATCTCATGTTTTTTGCAACCTTGTGTGGTTCATCCTCAAATTACAATAGTTATAAATGACTATTGTATCCATCAGAATCCAGTCAGGAAAGAGGGTATCTGAGAGATAGCACTACATCTTCACTTGTCTAGCCTCAGGGTTATGTCACCTACCCTTCTTTCTGCCATAATCTTGCCTGCAGAGAACTTAATCTTCCTGACATTCCACGGAACATCACACTGAACCATTACACTGGTGACATCTTGCTGAGTGGATGTGATGAGCAGGAGATGGCAAGTGCTTTAGATGCATTAGAAAGTCACATGTGTTCTGGAAGGCAGGGAATAACTTTTAATCCTGGTACCAAGTACTATTATCAATTACAGTCCAGGAAATAGAAACCACACTAGGCATTTCAGACAAAAGGGATTTAATACAAGGAGTTGGTTATACAGAAGTTAGAAGTCTAAGAGAATGAAGTAGATGTTGAGACACCAAAATTAGCAACCGTAAGAAGTAGCTACCACCTCTAGGGGTGAGAGAACACTAGGGAAAATCTAGCATTACCAGAATGTAGGAACTTGAAGGATAGGCCACCAGAGGCTGTGTGGGATTGAACGACCATTTTACCTCTGGTGCTGGAACCTCTAAGAGGGTACTGTGTGCCTGGTCCTCGGGACTTTGTGGGGTGCCCTTGGGCTGGTGCTCAGAGAACCAAACTAGTGGGGAGCTGGAACTTCTGCAGTTAGTTACTGGAAGAGTGCCACAGGAGCTGCAAACAAGAAGAGATGCCCGTCTTCTCTCCTCCCACCTTCCAGGTTCTCACCAGCACCTCCATCAGCAGAGCCTAAAAAGGAAATCAGGGGGCACGGAGTTCTGGGAAACGTGGTTTGCGACAGCCAGCATCACACAGTGGAATTGAGACAAGTAGGCTTGGCCTGGTAAGTACCTGGGTAACTACCAGCCATCATTTCAACGTTTCACCAAAATAAGAAGATTGTCTTCTTTTTTTCCCCCCTGGGAATATGCCAGTCGCAACTCCTTTGGGTCCTGGTTGAAAACTTAGAAGTTCTGGGCCTTCTCCCAAGAATGCTGAAAGCTGTCACTCTACCTGAATTGTCTAGCACCTTAGGGCTTGTGGAGCTCCTGAACTTCTAGCTTCTAAAGCTCCAAAAGCTGCAGCAATTGGATACACACCAAGGGAAGGAAAGAGCCTGAGGTCAGTGGGACACATTCCAAGAGTTAGTACCTTACAAATGTTACAAGGACTTTTTTTTTTTTTTTTTTTTTTGAGAGAGAGTGCACAAGCAGGGCAGAGGGAGAGGGAGAGAGAGAATCTTAAGCAGGCTCCATGTTCAGTGCGGAGCCCAACCCGGGGCTCGATCTGAAGCCCCTGAGATCATGACCTGAGCAAAATCAAGAGTTGGTCACTTAATCGACTGAGCCACCCAGGTGCCCGAAGGCCTTTCTTAATATAATGACTTTAAGTTTCTCAGAGATGGAAACATGAGAGCAATTTAAGACTACCATCGTTTTCCTCTTCAATGTTGTATTAGAGACCTTGATGTGCAGAGATGGAGGAACAATGAGACTAAATAAACAACATCTCACCACAGCAGGAAAGGAAAAAAATAATAAACAAATGAAAAAAGAAAAAAAGGAAAGAAAAAAAACCCCCCAAAATTACAAAAGGAAAGGCAAGATATGGGGACTCAGACGGCAGGAGCTGATGAGACGCTACAAGCACAGATCCTGATTTGTGCTGAAGAAGATTACAGTTTGCTTGGGGCTTGCTCAGGGACAACAAAAAGTAAGCACGTTGAAAGGAAATCACTGAACATATACAAAACAATGGAAAACATTGAAGTGGTGAGGTGACACCAATGTAAAGGAAAAGAGGCTGCGTATGATGGAAAGCATCAGGAATCCTTGCTCACTGACCCCACAGCTGCTCCCTACCCACCAGATCACGAAGGCTGTCTGGCTGAAGCTATGAAGCTGGTATGGTGAACATGTCAACGTGTGAAGTGCCACGTAGCTACAGCACTGGCCACAAATGTGTCCGACTAAAAGAGTGAATATATGAGTGAAGTTTGAAAGCTACCCATGCTGTGAATATTTTCTCACTTCTTAAGGCAGAGATCTTAACTTACGTAGAAACTGAGTTCCTAAGCTTCAGACTAAAGCCTTAGGACCCTAGCAGAGCCCAGACATCCCAAACTAGGGATCTCCTTTCTTCTAAACTACACAAAGCTGTAGGAAGGAGAATGCAGGGAGAAAGGGCAAGCAGGGCCCAGGATGGGGAAGTGAACAGAACATCTCCTTCACTTACACTTAAGTGTAAATCCAACAAAATATGTAAGGGCATGTATAAAGAAAACTACAAAATGCAATTGAAAGAAATAAAAAAAGTAAAAAAAAGTGAAGGGACATACTGTATTCATGGATTGGAAGACTCAACAAAGATACTGGTTCTCTCCAAATTGATCTGTATGTATAGATGGATAGATCTAAAGCAATTCCTATCAAAATTCTACCAAGGATTTTGGTAAACATAGAAAAGCTTATTCTAAAATTCACATAACAAAAAAAAAAAACCAGGAACTAGAATATCTCAAAGAATTTTGAAAAAAAGAAAAGTAGGAAGACCCACTCTACCTGATATTATGGTTTCCTTATATGGCTATGGTAATCAGGACTGCAGTACCGGTTGAGGGACAAACACATAGATCCCAGAATAGAGAATAAAGTGATAGCCTACGCAAGACCAACCAACCTGGTTTCTGACAAAGATTAAAAAGCAATTCGATGGATGAAAGGAGAGTCTTTTCAAACAAATGGTGTTGGAGTAACTAGATGTCCATGGACAAAAAACCAAAAACCTTGGCTTAACCCCTTTTACAAAAATTGACTCAAAACGGATCATAGATTTTAAAGTGAAGTGTAAAAGTATAGAACATTTAGAAGAAAACAGCAGAAAATCTTCAGGGCCTGGGCTTGTTGAACAGTTTGTGGATATGACACCAAAAACACTACTCATAAAAGGAAAAAAAATTGATCAGCTGGATTTCATAAAACGTTTTTCTCTATGAAAGGTCCTCTTAGGAGGGCAAAAGTACGAGCTACAGACTGGGAGAAAATGTTTGTAGACCACATATCTGATAAAGACCTCATTTCTAGTATATATAAGGAACTCTCAAACTTAATGGTAAGAAACAAACAATCCAATTAGAATATGGCCAAAATGCATGAATAAACATTTCATTGAAGAGGATATATGGAAGGAAAACAAGCACATGAAAAGATGTTCAATGTCACTTGCATTAGACACATTAAGATCACACTGAGATGCTCTTACAAACCTACCAGGGCGGCTGAAATAAAAAGTAGTGGTCATACAAAATGCTGGCGAGGACACAGAGAAAACGGGATGGCTCATACATTTGCTCATGGGAATGTAAAATTGTACAACCACTTTGGAAATAGTTTAGCAGTTTCTTCTTCTTTTTTTAAAAAGATTATTTATTTATTTGAGAGAGAGAGAGAGAGAGAACACAAGAAGGGAGTAGCAGAGGGAGAGGGAGAAGCAGGCTCTCTGCTAAGCAGGGAGCCCGATCCGTGGCTCAATCCCAGGACCCTGGAACCCTGAGCCGAAGGTAGACACTTAACCGACTGAACCACCCAGGTGCCCCAGTTTGGCAGCTTCTTAACCCTGTGTCCCAACAATTACACCACTGGACATTTCTCCTAGAGAAACGAAAACTTATGTCTTCATGAAAACCCTTACACGATTGCCCATAGCCGCTTTATTCATACTAGCCTGAAACTATGAACAGCTCAGACGTCCTTCAGCGGGTGGATGGTGAAAGAAACTGTGATAGGTCTATACTGTGAAACACTACTCAGCAGGAAAAACGAACAAACCATTGATAAACATACCCACCTGTACGGAGCTCGAGGAGCAGGAGCTTTGTGGCCCCGTGCTGTGAGGTGCCCAAGGAGCACGGCTCTCCAGCCTCTGCTTAGGTCCGCTCAGCTTCACTCTCCCCTGCATGGACGGGATAGAACTCAGGCCAGGCCTCTCATCCTCCCCGTCCCAGGAGTGGCTCAAGCATGACCGCATGACCCAATTCAGGCCAAAGACAGTTGCTGAGCAAGAGTCATAGCTTGCCTTTCTCCTGGTGACTGGTGTCTTGCCTCCACGTAGCACATGACCTGGAGCAGCCGGAAAGGAACCACACTGGTTATACTGTTTGAGCCTCTGAAAGAGTCCATGCCTAAGCTAAAACTACCCCAGACTCATGTGATAAATTCTATCTTCTATTAAAAGAACAAACTATAAAGAGTTCCTGGAACAATTCAAGTAACAGGAGACAACAAGATGCCTCTACTCTGAATGGGGGAGTTGCTGAACTCCCAAAGTCTAAAGGAAGGGGGAGTATATTAGGGAAATACGATCCTGTGTTACCTAAGCCCCGTCTTCCACCTCAACAAAAATGGAAGATCCCTAAATAAGGCAGAAGCTGTCCCTTTTTCTAACCTTCTTTTGTGTCAGTCTCATTAAGGAGTAACTTTTTAGTTCCAGCAGTGGAGCCAGAATAAAAAAAAAATTATTTTTCCCCTAAAGAGAAAGCTCACAAAATACGGGTAAACACACAACAATGTGTAGTGCTTCCTCCCTTCACTAGAAGCCAGTGGGGGAAAGAAGTAGCGGGGGCGGGTCCCCAGCCCAAGAGAGGTTATAGTTTCTCACATTCCAAACAGAGCTCACTGGAGAAACAACATGAATATTGTCTTAGCAGCTTCAAGGAAACTGGTCCTTCTTTACCGGCTTGGCATTTCTATTCGCAGACACCAAAGAAGTGGCAGGCTCCAGGGGCTCAGCTGTTGTTCCTGTCTATCTGAGGGGCTGGCCATTGTGCCCTCATGTGACAGGTCACCTCATCTGGTCCAGGCTCTTAACAAGAAGAGTGAGACAGTGAGGACACGGGGCCAGAATAAAGCACAAGGAACCCACCAATCACCCGGGCTGAAAGTCAATCCCCTTTATCCATGTGAAACTTAGTACTGGCTCCACATCCAAACTACTGTGTTATAACGAGCTACATTAGCCAACTTTATAATTAAGGCCCATAGACTTCAACTACTCCAGCAGAAAATTTCTGCCAAATTCTCATTACAAAGTGACACTTTTTGTGAGATATTTCAGGAACCTCAGCAGAAAGAAGAAAGTGCCCCAAGATATCCTAACTAAATGCCTTTCGAATAATTGTAAAGGAAGTGCTTTTTCAAAAATACAGACTACATGAATTCCTTTATAACCACAGAAGTGCCATCGATTGAATGTTTGTGTCCCCCCAAAATTCATATGCTGAAACCTAACCCTCAGGGTGAGGGTATTAGGAAGTGAGGCCTTTAGGAGGTGATTAGGTCATGAAGGTGGAGCCCCCGTCAATGGGATTAGTGCCCTTATCAAAGGGACCTCACAGGGCTCCCTCACCCCTTCTCCTGCGTGAGGACACAGCGAGAAGACAGCTGTTGATGAGCCAGGAAACAAAACCCTTACTAGACATCGATCTGTTGGTGCCTTGATCTTGGACTCCCAGCCTCTAGAGCCATGAGGAGTCAGTGTTGTATTTCTGAAGCCCCTCGGTCTGTGGGGTGCTGTTACGGCAGCCCGAACAAATGGAGACAAGAGGCAAGATTGAAGATATGCCTCAGCATGTACTTGTTTATCAGTTCATTAATTCACTCAGTGAAAAGGCTTTTTCTTTTTCTTAAAAGATTTTATTTATTTGACAGAGACACAGCAAGAGAGGGAACACAAGCAGGGGGAGTGGGAGAGGGAGAATGAGGCTTCCTGCAGAGCAGGGAGCCCGATGCGGGGCCCAATCCCAGGACCCTGGGACCATGACCTGAGCCAAAGGCAGACGCTTAACAATTGAGCCACCCAGGCGCCCTGAAAAGGCTTTTTCTTAAGCTGTAAACATGGTAACTTAATTTTTTACTTTAATTTCTCTAATAATATACTGGTTTTGGTATTATTGCCATTGTCTTCTTTCAAGGTTGAATTCAATTTTTACCTTTCTTTCAAACCTGTTTCTCTAATCAAACTAATATTGTATCTCTATTCTTTAAGCTCCAATAGCACTTCACAGTTTAGTACTTAATTACCTATTATCTTCCATTGCTTTCAATTTATTTCATGTGTGCCAGGCCTGTTCTCACAATTAGATTTTTAAAAACTGTGGTAAAAAACACATAATATAAGGGACATCTGGGTGGCTCAGTCGTTAAGCATCTGCCTTCAGCTCAGGGCATGATCCCAGAATCCTGGGATCGAGTCCCCCGTGGGACTCCCTGCTCAGCAGGGAGCCTGCTTCTCCCTCTCCCACTCCCCCTGCTTGTGCTATCTCCCTCTCTCTCCCTCTCTCTCTCTCTGTCAAATAAATAAATAAAATCTTTAAAAAGAACACATAACATAAAATGGGCCATTTTAACCATTTTGAAGTATACGGTTAAGTGATATTAATTAAATTCTAATGTTGTGCCGCAGATCTGAGAAGTTTTTCATCTTGCAAAACTGAAACTCTGTACTCCCCACTGTCTCCTCCAGGAGCCCCTGGCTACCACCATTCTATTTGCTGTCTCTCTGAATTTGACAGCTCTAAGTCCCTAATATAAATGGAGTCATGCAATATTTATCTTTTTGTGACTGGCTCATTCTCTTGGCGTGAAGTCCTCTAGGTTCATCCATATTGTGACATATTAGGATCTCCTTCCATCTTAAGGCTGAACAGCATTGTACTGTTTGTGTACAGTTTATGGGTGCAGCCAAGTCTGGCCTTACAGCGTGCGTGATTTCCCAGTGAACACACGTAGTGGAGCTGACAGGTGTCAAAGACCTGACACCTGACTTAGGAGATGGAAAGGTCTCATTGGCACAACTCATGGACTGAGCTAGGAGTGGAAAACTCAAATGAAATATGATAACCTTCACTGTGGAAAATCAAAAGTAAAAACGAACTAGCAACTCTTAATTACTAATATTTGGCATAATAAGAAATACATATTTGATCTTCATCCCCAGTTCCTGGCATAGAGCTCCTAAAGCCCTTAGGATTTCCTAGGAGATAAGAGATATAAGAGTGCTTTTGTTCGTAATAAACCTCTTTCAACTATACCTGAGTTTATTTTTAAAAAATTTTAAACAGATTTTATTTATTTATTTGAGAGAGAGAGAGCACAAGTGGTGGGGCAGAGGGAGAAGGAGAAGCAGGCTCCTCACTGAGCAGGGAGCCCAATGCAGGGCTAAATCCCAGGACCCTGAGATCATGACCTGAGCAGAAGGCAGACCCTTAACCACTGAGCCACCCAGGCAGCCTGACCATGCCCGAGTTTATGCTAATGAGGTGGCCCTTGGAGGCCAAGGTTGGCTTCAGGAAGCAGTTGGTTGCCAGGGGAAACAACCACATGATTAGATGGTTGGAATTTAGAGCTCCCAACCTCTGGGGCAGGGAGAGGGGCTGGGTATTGAATTTGATCACCAATGGCCAATGATTTAATCAATCATACCTATGTGATGGGATCCCTATAAAAATCTCTAAGCAGCAGGTTCTGGAAGCTTCCCAATCCATGAACACAGTGAGGTGCGGCGAGGGAGGTGTGCCTGGAGAAGGTATGGATGCTCCATAATAGCTCCAAATACCTTTAGGCTATTCCTGAGTTGTATGCATCTCTTCCATTTGACTGGTCCTGAATTGTATCCTTCATAATAAGCTAGTAAAAATAAGTAAAGTGTTTTCCTGGGTGCCTGGGTGGCTCAATTGGTTAAGCAACTGCCTTTGGCTCAGGTCATGATCCTGGAGTCCCGGGATCAAGTCCCACGTCAGGCTCCCTGCTCAGCGGGGAGTCTGCTTCTCCCTCTGACCCTCCCCCTCTCATGGTCTCTCTCTCTCATTCTCTCTCTCAAATAAACAAATAAAATATAAAAAAACGTGTTTTCCTGAGTTCTGTGAGTCATTCTAGCCAAGTATTGAACCTGAGGAGGGGGTCATCAGATCAGTGTCACCAGATCAGGGGCCCCTGATCTGTAGCTTCTCCATCGGAAGTATGGGTGGCCTTGCAATTGGCATCTGCAGTGGGGGTAGTCCTGTGGAAGTGAATCCTTAAAACTGTGGGGTCTGCTGCTAACTCTGGGTAGGTAGTGTCAGAACTGAATTGAATTGAATTGTTGGACATCCAGGTGGTGTCAGAGAGAATCTGAGAGTTGATGCTAGAACCATAATGACAGGCAGGCATTTTCTCTGGCTCCAAAACGAGGCATATGTGGGAAAGGAGCCTAGGCAAGCAAGCATGCTCAGTGCATCTGGTGCATATTAGGAACTCAGCACCTGTAGAAAGAATGCTTATTTAAAATAAGTATTACTGACATGCCTTGCAATATGGGGACATCTGGGGTATTCTAGTAAAAGTTATGGGACATTTACTAAAGATTCTGATTTGAAGTTTATTTATTTATTTATTTATTTTTAGTAATCTCTACACCTAATGTGGGGCTCGAGCTCACAACCTCTAGATCAAGAGTCGCAAGCTCCACCAACTGAGCCAGACAGGCGCTCCTGAAAATTCTGATTTGAAATCATTATTCTATGCTCTTCACTTTGAAGTTAGTCCTACATGCCAGGAGAGGTCCAGCTTCCCAATCTCACTCTGTTTGTGAAGTATAAAACCTGTATTAAGAAAAATGCTGTTTCCTCAATTATTTGCAACCCTCTCCAAATCATACACAAAAATCTTCATGCAACCTGCGTGGGGAGAATTGTGTTAGCCAGAGAGAGGGTGAAGAAGTAGGAGGAAGGTAAAGAAGACAGCTCAGAACAGGCTGTCTCTGCTTGATGGCTTTTCCACCTAGTGCAGTGAGTGGCATCAAGGAAAGGGGTTACAGAAGTTCTCCATCCTAGACCCGCTCCATCAGTGACTCCTGGACAGGATCTGGAATCTCTAGCAACACATTCCCCAGGGGATTCTAAAGCCACCAAAATTTGAGAAGCATTGGTTTCTTGTATGGACTGAATTGTGTGTCTCCCCCCCCACCCACCAAGTTCATATGTTGAAGCTCTAACCCCCAATGTGACTATATAGAGAGCTTATAGAGATAGGGTCTTTAGGACACAATTAAGGTTAAATGAGATCATAAGGGTGGGGCACATCTGCAAGCGTGAAGAGAGCTCCCAGGAACAAAATTGGTTGACGCCTTGATCTTGGACTTCAAACTTCCAAAGCCTTGAGAAATAAATTTCTTTTCTTCAAGCCGCCCAGTTTTGGGGGTACTTTGTTATAGCAGGCTGAGCTGGCTAAGGCCGCTTCAGGGGTCAAAAATGACCAGTCTATTGTCAGCTCCAAAGAAGGGACCCTCGCTCTACACCTGGAATCTCCGGTGTGAGGAGCCAGGTGTGTGGTCATCCTGGGCTGGAGGCCCGGATCAGTGGCGGGGAGGGGGCACTAGGGCGCTCCTGAAATATTGGCAACACGGTGTTTCTTGGTTAGGGTGTGATCCCACATAAAGGGCGTACTTTGTGAATCCCTATTAGGCTGGATACTTAGGATTTGTGTACTTTTCTGTATGTATTTCTACTTAAAAAAAAATAAATGACAGTATTCAAATAAAAAGTTCAAAGGTTTACCTCTTAGAACTGTGAGGATTAAGAGATCACAGATGTAAGGCTCCTGACCGTTTTTTAGCACGCAGGACACACTCATTAGTTATTTGCCAGCTTTTGTCAGCTCATTAGGTGAAAGGCCAAATGAATATGCAAATGACCAAACTGGGTGAGGAAAGAAAGACTCAGCAGTCCGCCACCACCACGGAGAGAGCAGAAGAGGGCAAGGAGAAACGCACAGATGTGGGGTTTGCGTTTCGGCTTCTCCACCCCCTGAGCAGGTCACTTAACCTCTCTGAGGCTCAGCTTCCTAACTGGTCAACAGGTGTGCTGCCAAGATCAAATGTCTTCGTACACAAAGGCCCTGTCCTCACGCTCTGCCTGTATGCACCGCAGAGCTCAGTGAGTGCTAAGCATGACTGGGGAACTGGGATGTGGCTACGTCCCCACGCTCCTGCAGTCTGAATCTCCGACAGGCAGGAGGATCAGCAGGCAGCTTTAAATACAGGTTCTCCAGTGGCCATTAAGCCCCTAAGCATCTGTAGCCAAAATCTTTCGATGTTGCTTTCGAAAGTAAACTTTCCAAGAAACACTGTTCACAATTTACGTTCAAGGAAATCATTTGCAGTTCCACATTAAGCTCATTGCTGGGAATGACGGAGCCAGACAGTGGTGCCAAATACAGCCTTCCTGAGTGACCTTAAAAAAATTAAGCTAATGGCAATTTTATGTTTTATGGAAGCTCTTCCTGTTTACTAACTGCCAACAAGAGCCAATCCTGGTGTCCTGTGCCTACATCTCAGCCTGGACATTTCAGGAAACTCAGCAGGAAATGATTATCAGTGCAGATTAATATGCCTCTTAGCTGTACTGTGAAGTTTAGGAGGTAAAGCCATACAACTAAGTGCTTGTGGAAACATGATTTATTTTTTTAAAGATTTTATCTATTTATTTGTCAGAGAGAGAGAGAGCACAAGCAGGGGAAGGGGCAGAGGCAGAGGGAGAAGCAGGCTTCCCGCTGAGCAAGGAGCCCGAGACGTGGGGCTCTATCCCAGGACCCTGGGATCATGACCTGAGCCAAAGGCAGATGCTTAACCGCCTGAGCCACCCAGGCATCCCTGGAAATAATGATTTTAAAATTATATTAATATGC